GGACGAATCTCAGCAGAAAGTGTCCAGACATGCAGCACCGGTGATGACATGCTGGGAATGAAAGGGGAGCAAGGAGGGGCCTGGGGAGGAGAGTTGCCAGGCCTGGATCCTCTCCATCACCCACACGTTACTGTTTAGGCAAGAGCAAACAACTCTATGGGACGAGGCTAAAGGGGCTTTTCCTCACCTGGCTTCCCACCCTTCCCAACCGTCCACATGTCCCATCTCCTCACAAAAACCCATGCAGGTCCCTGAGTCCCTGCCAGCTGGCTCCGGCACTGGTGCCAAGGGAGCTGTGCCCATGGAGAGCCGTCCCTTGCCTTGGCACCAAGCAGAGGAGACCACCAGCCCAGGGGACAACTGGCCCTTGCACTGGCAAATGTGCCCAGGGCATGTTCACAGCTCCTGTGGACTCCTCCACACCAGGTAGCGACATGAAGAGGCCGTGTTCGGGCTGCGTGAGGGGGAACAGCTTTTAGCCCCTAGAGTGCGGCTCACCTTGCCGGCGGGTGCATGCAGGAAGGGTGCAGCTGGGTCCTCCCCGGTCCGTCCAGGACCAACGCGTGCAACACATGAGGGACAGTGGTGACAGAAAAAGCTCTCGTACACCATCTCTTTGGAGGCAAGGGACAAAACCAGTTCCAGTAAAGCCCACGGAAGGGGTATTATGGCACCAAGTGAGACCAGCTTAGTGTTTCCCTTTGGTGCCTGCTGTTGCTGCAGAGAAGCAGAGGGGTGCTTTTGCTATTGACTTTCAATCCTACCTCCTGGCTGGGAATGCCCATGAGAGGTCAGACCCTGGGACTGCAGCAGACTGTGCCTGCTGTGTCTTGTGCCCCTTGAATGCAGCCTGGGAAGCATCCGAGACAGCTTTCACCATGCCTGGGAGAGATAGGAGTGGTCTCATGATCCCAGCTATGAGACCTGGCAGCCCAAAGCATGCTCAATTTTCTTGCATAGATGCAGCCTTGTCTTTCTTTCCTGGCCTTGTGCACAGTCACCAAGAGAGCTGTTTTGTCAGCTCCCTAGGAAAGCTTTTCAGTTATAATGTCTTATGATTCCACAACATGTGAAATACAGGTCCCAGGCATGGATAAAGGACTGCAGGTGATTCAACCGATGCTCCAGAACACATCACACCAAAGTGATCCCTGCACATAGCCCCAGACCTACTGAGGGCATGTCTGCACCGTACTGCAACAGATCCTGATAGTGCCCCATCAACCCCTGAGGATGCAGTGAGGGTAGGCAAAGAGTAGGAAAAACACAGCTGGGGAAAGAGAAGCAGGAGGACTTGGAACATTTTTTACTGAAACTAGCTCTTGGCTGGGACTCGAGGTTTTTGACATGGCAGTGACAAGCTGCTTTCTCTAAGGAAAGTGGCTGCTTCCCTCTAAAGAGATCATTGACATTCTGTATCAGAAAAATTCACTCCGTAGTTTACGAAGTACTGAGCCCTGCTGGTTTTGGACAGATTTCCAAGAGTCGGGCTCTGGAGTAGGGACAGCTGCTGCAGGGCTGGAGGAGGGACAGCCAGCCAGGACCACGTACCTGGCCTGGGACAGCATCTCCTCCTGTCCATCACTGGGGGGTATGGCCAGCCTGCTGCCAGAGCTGGGGCCTGGCTCACCACCCCCTTGAGAGCCACGAAAGACAAGGACCTGGCAGGGATCTGTGATGCACAGCTGCATTGCTCCAAGAAGGGTGAGTTTACTGCTCCCAGAAGAGATGGGAGCCACGGGCTTTACAACCACGCTCTTACAGGCAGCTTGGCCAAGCAGTCCCTCAAACCCTGATGGAAGTAGAAAAACCTGCTTCCAACATCCAAGAGATCGGTGCAAGCCCCTTCTCCCTCAGCTTTCCAAGGGACTGGGCCAGGACACCGTGCTCTTTGTCAGGGTAGCCTCCGGCCGGGGATGAACCTCATGCATCTCAGGCTAAGACCCTCCTGCAGGCCCTGTCCTGCACAGGAACCCGCACCAACTGCAGCAGCTCAGCCCCAGTGCAGATCCACGCCGAGCATCCCCCTCCTCCCCAGCCGCGGCCCCTTGCGGGTCACCCGAGTGAGTGGCAGGAAGGCCAGGCCGAGCATCCCCCTCCTCCCCAGCTGCGGCCCCTTGCGGGTCACCGAGTGAGTGGCAGGAAGGCTTCTGCCCAAGCAAGCACCAGTTATCCTCCTTTCCCACTCACGCTGTTTGTCTTGGCCTCTCTTCCCATACCAGCCTTCCTCCTCTGCCTCCTGCTCCTCGGGATTGTATTGCTGGGGCTGTCACTAAAGTTAATGAGCCGGGACAGAGCTGGTGCTCCGGGAAAGTCACGCCAAGAGACAGACGAGCCCAGGGTGTTGCATGTGCACAGATACCAGGGAGGAGGACCTTGGAGGGGGGAACACCTGAAAAAGAAACCCAGACCACCAACCAAAGGAGCCAGCAGACCAGGGGAGGAAAAGGGCCAGGGCTAAGTTTGCATTCAACAAGTCTCAGCAAAAGCCATCAGGTGTCTGGACATCCCCTGGCTTGGACAGCCCAGCTGCTGCACCACCATGGATGCCATCCCCCAGAGGTGCTGGTGGCCACGTCCCTCCCACCTTCAGGAACAGCCCCTGGGCCATCTCACTCCCAGCCTGTGCCCAGGCTTGCTGGCTGTCACCAAAGCCTGGCCAGGGACAGTGTAAATAATTTAATGATGTGGACAGTCACGTTTGACACTGTGGTCTTTGAGGGGAGAGCACAGTGCCTGGCTGTTGGCCATGCAAACCCCATTTATGCATGTTTGGCCCATGCTTCACCTGAACAGAGCAGCTTTGTTCAAACATCGCATGGTGTGGGTGAAAGGACAGTTCCCAAGGGGACATAAGGCCACTTTGGGGCAGCAAGACCATAGTCCTAGTGCACAGACCCAGGAGACCCAAGGCTCAGGAAGAAAATCGCCGGGTACTCCCAGCTCATTGGCGATGAGGGGCAGGCGGTGGTGGGTTACCCTCCATGCCTTGTCCATGGACATGCCCAGGAGCAGGTGTCTTCACCTGCCTCCATTTCCCCAAAAGCTCTTTCTCCTCCCCTGCACCCCAGCTGCTAGCAAGCGCCAAACTGCCAGGGCAATTGGCAGACCTGATCAGCCACGCTGTGCCTCAGTTTCCCTTCACTGCAGGGACAAAGCACCTGCTCCCGCAGCTCTTCATCCATGCCCCCCACTCCTGCAGGAGCTGAAGACCAGGGAGCTCCAGCCCGGCAGCCGCACTGGTGGAACTGAAGTGGTTTGGGCTGGATGGTGCAATACTGGAGTGCTCCTTCCCACCCCATCTCTGCAATACAAACCCCTGGGGACCCAGTCCAGCAGCCTGGCCCAGCAGCGCAGCGCAGGGCGCCCGCCTCACCACAGTGCTGAGGGCTCCCAAGAGAGGCCTGCAGCCCAGCTGCTGTAGAAAGTGTCCTTCACCCCTATGAAAGCAATTTCCCCCCCTTGCACCCCAGCGCAGCCCCCTTGCTGCTGCGGCATCGCAGGCAGCGCTGGCTGCACGCCCCACGCTCTGCGCTGGCCTTCGGGCTCAAACACGAGGCAGGCCAATCATCTGCTGGCTTTTCTTTTTATTTAACAGAATCACAGCACAATAAAAAAGAGAGAAAAGAAGCAACTTACACCCGTAGTTGTTGCATTGAACGGATCTAGCAGCAAATACCTGAGAGCAGCGTGAACACTGCTCGTGCATCCTTGCCCAGGCAGGAGCATGGGGCAGGCTTTGAACACAGTGGCAGCTGGGGGACCAAGAGGGGGGGCAACATCCCAACGAGGGCCAAGGGCAACATCACTGCTCGCTCTGCCGCCGCCGCATTACTGGCTCTATTTCTACCTGTGCAAGGAAGGGCAGGAGGGGAAACGGTGCAGGGAATTCAGGGTGTGAGAGAGGAACCGCATCGGCCACAGTCTACCTGAGGGCATCTAGTTTGTGCTCAGCAAGAGAGAAGAACAGTGCATGGCCGGCAAGGAACATCTCCATCCCTCCCCTCCATCCCCACACTATCCCATCCTGGCAGCCCTTCCCAGGGTTGCAGAAGGACTGGAGAAGGCTTGGGGCTGACGATGGAAACCAAAAGGATCAGACTGGTGCTGGGGGTCACAGCTGCTGCACCGCAAGGAAGGCTGACAGCCCCCCCCCAGACTCATCTCGCAGAACAGTTCATCAGCCAGCTTCCAGGCTGTGAAGGCGGCAGAGGCTCTGGTCCAGCAGCCCCCGGCTCAGCCCCACGCAGGTTGCTGGGTCACACCAGAGACAGAGGGAAGAAGAGAGCAGGCAGGGCTCTGCCCAGCCCCGCGCACTGGCACGAGTCCTGAGGAGGGTCGGCCCCATGGCTGGAGGTGGAAGCAGGTCGGCTCCATCAGCTTCAGATTCACAGCTGGAAGCCAGCCCCACTCCAAGCGCTGGGGCTGGCCACGGGCTTCTTCGGAGACTACTGGCTCTGGGGTTTGGCCTGGGGAAGTGAAAAACCCAGCTGTGATGAGTGTGATCCTTGGGGCAGGAGCCTCCCCAGGTTCCCTTCCCCATGGTCAGTGTGGTCACTAAGGGGTGACCTCCCCTGGCCAAGCCATGGTGGTAAAGCAGGGACCTGGCAGGGCTTGCAAAGCACTCACCAAACTCATTGCAAGCCCGCCCTGTGAAGGTGCACAAGTTGCAAACTCCAAGCTTGCAGGGCAGAAGTGGGGGGGTTTGCTCCCGGTGCCGTTTGCTGTAGCACCTGCTGGGCTCAGCCCAGGGTGGCTCTGGGTGGGCAACAGCCCCAGGGCCCCATTTGTTTGGGGTGGAAGAGGGATTGCAGAGGAGCCAGACTGGTCCCAGTTGGAGGGAGGAGGGATGGAGGCTGAGACGAAGTATCCATGCCTTGATGGAGCATGTCCCAGCTCTTCCCAGCAGCCCAATCACACCGGGAAAAGCCTGTTTGGTGGCAGGTAAACCCACCCCCAGGATGCCCTTGTTCCCAGCTGAGCACAGGGCCGGCTCTTACCTTCCTGGCAGAGCTGGTGTCCAGCTTCTCTTGGAGGCGAACCACCCACGGGGCTTGGAGTGGGGCACAGAGGCGCTTGCCTTTCACGGTGATGAACCTACCAGGCCCACGGGAAAAAAACAAGATGAGGTGAGCAGGACACCCCAGGGATGCTCCAGAGCAGCCCAAGCTCTCAGCCGCTGCCTCCCTCACTGCCCTCCTCCATCTCTACCTTGGGATGACTTTCTTCCCTGTCTTTTGTCCCAAGGTTTCCCCTCCCGGCAGGTCTGTTCTTCTCCTTCTCAGATTGAGCCTCTGATCTCCACAGTCTCTTCCACAACCCTCCCTCTTCCCTCACCTCCAAACCCAGCTCAAAATCCCTCCTCCACCCTGCTCTGCCTGCCTTCCCGCTGGGTCCATCCCTTGGCCATCACCACCCTGGGGCTCTTACACAGCAGCCGGGATGTTGCAGCCATCCTGCACCAGCTGGAGCCGGTAATCCTGCACTATCCGCCGCGGGATGGGCGTCTCACTCGTCCTCAGGCAGCAGTCGAGGACATTGTTCCCGCCGTGCACTGGAGGAAGAACACACCATGCAGTCTGAGGTTGCTCTCCCCAGGTCGGCTGCACCTTCACCCAGCCTCCCCAGAGGGTGCAAGGGCTGCAGGGCTGCCCTGGCGGAGCAGGGCAGGATGGTGCCCGCCAGTGATGCCCTCGCACACTGCCCCGGCTGCACACACAGGCAGGAGCTTTATTGCCCCCACGCCCCAGTGCCGGGAGCCCTTTGCCTCCTTCTGACAGAAAGCAAAGGAGGTGAGAAACAGCAGATTGGCAGAGGGCAGGCCTTCTGCATGCCCGGGTCCCTGCCCCACCCCCGGGGCCAGCGCCAGCGCCGGCAGGCAAGCGGGGCAGGATGGGGGTCTTCACCCTGCTTCAGGATGTTGCAACGCTGAAGATGCCCATACCCGAAGGGCTGGGAATGGCCTCAGCTGTATTTGCTGAAGCAGCCCTAGGTTTTGCACCTACCCCATCACCAGCCTGTCCCGCACTGATCAATCCTGTGAGAGCTGAGGGACACAGCTGTCTGAAAACTTCTGTGTGGGGTAGGGGAGCTCAGTCACCCTCCGAGCAAACGCTGTATTCGCTGTTGCCCGTCAAGGCTGGCAGTGCCCAAGATGCCTGTAACCCCAGGCAGCAAGGTGTGGTGCAACACCACAAGGTGTCTGGACTCCCCAGCTCCCCGCAGCAGAGCAGAGGGCCTGGTGTCACCCACCCAGACAGCTGTCACCTGTGCAAATCCCGTGTTCAACACCAGGAGCCCCTCAAACATGGGTTCTGCCCTAACACACACCTTCCCTCCTGCTCCCAGCCCTGCCACTTGCTCCCAGGCTGCCCCATGCCAAAGGGTGCCAGGGATGCTCCCCTGGTGTGCTGGGGAGAATGGGACCAAGGCGATCCTAGCCCAGTGTGCATAAGCTGGGCTAGGGCACTGGGAGGCAGGATTGCTCCACGGCCTTTCCCAAGCTCAGCTTTCCAGCCCCAGTGCCCTGCAGGCTCCTGCCTGGCCTTTGGGCAGGACCAAGTCCCTCTGGGACAGGTTACAAGCAGAAGATGCAGGAGGGCTGCGACAGAGCCCCAGCCATGGGTCCCTCTAAAAGTCTGCTGGAAATGCAAAAGAGAGCAAGAAACTGGATCCTCTCCCTTCCGCAAGAAAGGCAGCCTGAGAGGTTCCCTCTTACCATTCAGGATATGTCCCAGCACCAGAAAACTGAGGCAGAGAAGATGCAGCCGCTGCATTTTGCTGCTGAGTCTGGCAGAGGATGGGCTGGAGGCGATGATGCTCGAGGCGGGAGAGGCGAGCCCGGCACAGCTTCCCTGCACTCTGCTGCTGGTGCTCCCTGCCGCCTATTTATCCTTCCAGCCTGTGGCTTTCACTTTCTTTTGGAGAAGAAGGGTGGGAAGTTGCAACAAGTCTTGCTACAGGCTGGATTTTAATCTTTGAGCATTTCCCGAATATCCCAGCTGCTTCCCCTGCAGCCAGCTGCTCTGCAGTCCCAGAGCCAAACACCCTCCTGCCCTCTCCACTGCCAGCACCTGGGCCACAGGGGCTGCTGGTCAGGGCCAGAGCAGCTCCAGGGTCCCTTCACCCTGTGAAAGCACCCCGGGGCCCTGGCAAGCACATGAGGGGGACTCACCCCATATATTTTCTAGTCCCTCCTCCGAGACATCTCTGGGATGTTCCCATTAGATATCGCATAGGCTCAACCCACTGATGCTGGGGGGGAGAACTTGCCTCAACCCCAGTTTTTGGGTATGTACCAGTACTGGGGTGATGCCTGGCTCCCCCTGAGGCCCCCCATCTGGTCGCAGGATCCTGGCTGGCTCCCCCTGCCCTCCCCATTGCCTGGGGGGGGGGGGGCACATCCAAAGCTGGTGGATGGAGGAGAGCCCAGACAGCATGCTCAACTCCAGGCCCACGATCTCACATGCCAAAAGACAACCCTGTTTCCAGGTGTCCCAGCAAATCGGCTCATGGCCAAAGGCAGCTACAGAGCTTCCTGGAAACAGGTTTTCTCAGCACAAGAGCAGAAATCCCCCCCGAAGCCTGTACGCACGGCGCGGGGTGCCAGCAGCTCACCAGCTGCGTGGGCACTGCAGGGAATGAAGACCAGCACTCCCACTGCAAACCTTCACAAAAGTGCAGGGACAGGGGCTACTTCTCCTTGGGATGGTGACTCACCACCATGCCACCTGCGGTGATGTCCCTTAACCAGCCTGCTGCAACCCTGATACGTACCGTGCGGGATGCTGAGAGCAGTGGGGTGTACAGCCCAGGGAAGGAACGGTGAAGGGGGTCTCACTGCTGTCAGCAGCTGCTTTGTAGGGGTTTGGAGAGATGCCAGACCCAGGCTCTTCTTGGAGGGGCCCAGAGACAGCATGAGAGGCAATGGCACCAGCTGCAACCAGGGAAATTCCCATTGATAGTAGGAAAAATATTTCCCCACAGGGGTGAACAAATCCTGGAGCAGGATCTCCATCCCTCCACCCTCTCCCTTGCTCCAGCTTCGGCCTGTCCTGGCACCTTGGTGGAAGGCGCTGCACAGCCCTTCCAGAGTGACAAATGGCTACCTGGGGACAAGACACAGGGCTGAGACCTGGGGATCTCAGTGGGTCCCTCCGCTCCTCTCAGCACCAGGAGATAGCAAACTCTGCCCCTTCCCTGCCCCACGGTAAGAAGCAAGAGGAGACTCCAGCCGTGCCACTGGCCAAGGGGCTCCATCCCTGCACTGGCACTGGCACCAGCCTCGTGCGTGGGGCGGTCTCCTCCATCAGGAGAGCATTGCCTTCAGCCGCTCCTGTGCCCGGGCAAGCCATCGCTGTGCCGAAGGGGTTAAGCAGAGGTAGGTGGGCAGGATGAGCAGCACAAACAGGATGTGCCGGCTTAACTTCAGTCAGCACCTGCCTTCTTCTAGCACTCACAAGCTACGGGAGAGAAGTCTTGGCTGGCAGAAGGGGAATTTAGGTGGCAGAGGATTAGTGTCAGTCATCAGCCCCAGAATCCCTGCGGGTTTGGGGATGCAGGCTGGATCTGGGACCTGGTCTCCACTTGACCTCCCCAGGGTGCTGCCAAGGAAATGCCACAGCAGGGAGGACAACGGCTCCTCGCTGCTGATGCTGGTGGTCAGACCGCCAGGCGCAGCAGCTCCTAACCCAGAGTTGGCTCATCCCTGGGGGCTGGACTGACAGCACGAAGCCCCCTGCGAAGAGGGGGCCCCAAAAGCAGAGCCCTGACCTACTGGCAAGGGATGCTGGGGGTGCTGCCCGATGGCGAACGCTCGCCTCCTTGCATGTTCGGTGTGTTTGGCAGCTACCAAAGCATGTCCAAGGAGTAGCAAGGGGTGCTGGGGGGTGCTGGGGTTCCCGTCCTGTGGGACCCCCCTCCAGGCATTGCTGGGGTCCTGGTCACCACGGCAAGCGGGGGGGTCCCCTGCCTCTTTCCTGGCACAAGGGGCTCCCACCCACTGCTGGCTGCTGGCTGGACACGAACTGAAAGCAGCGTGTCCGGTGTTGGGAATACATCCTTCTGGGGGTAAACCCCTTAACTGCCTCTGGCTGCAGGGGACCCCCTGCCCTTGCACTGCCCACAGTCCCTGCCAACGCATGGGCAGGAAAGAGAGTCTCTGCCTCCTCCCAGCAGCTGTGTGGGCGCAAGTGGGTGAAAGCACAGCTGCTCCAGTCGCCTCTGCTCCCCAGGAGGGGCACTGGAGGGTGAGGAAAGGGGCTTTCCGCTCACTTTATGAAAGGGGAATGTGACGGGTTTCCCCCCTCCACTGGGGTCAGTGGAATTTCTAAGAAGAGAGTGGTCATCTCTGAAGTGCATCCCTGTGGCATGCAGGAAGGTCATCCCATCCCCCTCGCAGGGCTGAGCCTTGGGAACCAGAAGAGACGGCACAGATGGGGAAGAGGGGATGTTTCTGGGTCCAGGCTCTTCAGAGGCACACGCAGGCAGGGAACGGGCAGGGGATCTGGTGTGATTTGGGAAGAGGGGAGAGCATCATGTGCGCTGACCCATTTAAGCCTCATCCAGAGCAATTTGGAAGCACTGGAGCTCCAGCCCCGAGGACACCACAGGCAGTGTGAACCATCCCTGAGGACTCACCCCTGCAGAAGCCTCAATAACGCAGTTGTTAATTAAAGTTGAAACCATGCATGGAGGGGGATCCCCATGGGAAATCCAACCCATCAAAATGTAAATGGGCTGTGTGAGCATCACCTCCATCCCCAGGCTCTCCTCAGGGAGCAGCAGCCACGCTGCCACCCTCCTGGAGACCTACCGGCTGCGGGAGCCCCTGGGGAAGCTGCTCCCCTCTGGACTTGTGGGCTCTGGCATGCTCCCCGGGGTGCCTGGTGGTGGTCAGCTTTCCACCTCCAAGCTACGGAGCTGGAAAGGGCAAAGGGGGAATTTCAGCAAATTCCAGGCACAGTCCCTGAGGTAGGATCTGGCCTGGCTGCATTCGCCTCATTGGGAAATACTGGACAAGCATTGCAGCTGTTTCAATTTCCCTTGCATCTCCCAGCATGAAGGAGCCTCCTGCACAGCTCCCATTGCAGCCCCAGTCCCAGCGCAGCATGGAAACTGGGGCCACCACCAGCCCATGGGGCTCAGGGGCCCGCTGGATCCCCTCTAGCTGAAGGAACCCAGTCAATCTGATTTAAATGGAACTAAGGAGAAGAAAAAAGCAAACCATGACTTTTACCCGTGTCTGGCTAAGAGGGATGCAGAAGGTGCCAATTCCTGCTCTGTTAGAGCCCATCTCTCCCTAACACTCGTTGCCTTCAGTGGCATTGATGTTGAGGTCACCGTAGGTGATGGGCAGCAGAGCCAAGACCCTTCAGCTGGGTCCCACTCAACTCCACCCAGGTGACCACCCATCTCCCAGGGTCCCTGCAACGCACGTGTCCCTCAGCATCATCTTTGGGCTGCACAGTCTCCCAGCTGGGTGCTTCCTGCAAATGTCCTTGGACATGTTGTGACGGCACTGAGGTGGCAGCGGCCGGGTGGGATGCCCCCAGCCCTGGCTCCCTGCCGTCACGCTGCCTGTCCTCCTCTCTGCAACCTCTTCAGGGGATTCAGGAGGGGATGGCTGGGGAACAGCTCGGAAACCTGTGCAAAAAGCAGCCCGTCAGCGATTTCCTTGTCATCTCCCATGTGGCTTTGCAGGAAGGATGACCAGTTAGCCTGCACCCCAAACTCACCTGTGGGCAGATCTAAAAGCACATAGGATGGACCAAAAGCCCTGAAGGCTGCTCTCTTTCACTGCTATGTTGGCTCTTAGACTGACAGCGGGCAGAGGAGGCTGTGGGGTTCTTGGTCTGGCGCAGCTCTGGGATGCGGCTCACGTTGGCCCCACTGCAAGACATCCTCAGAGGACAGCAGATGCTCTTCCACCGCCCCTTGGAGAGCTGCAGCCCAGGGGCAGGTCTGCAATCCCCAGAGGGATGGGAGGCAAGAGGAGGGACATGGGGTCCAGGCAAGCGGAAGGAGGACCATCAGCACGAGGACGCACCAGAGCTGAGGGGCTCCAGCCAGCAAAATGTGGGACGGGGAAAGGAAGGCACTTGAGAGCTACATGTGGGTGAAGAAAGGGTTGAGAAGAGGCTCTGGGGTGGGACCTGTAGGAGAGGATGGGCACCAAGGGATGGCTAGGACTGGGAAATACCTTGGGGCAGGAAGGATGGGAGTCCCTGTTGCCCACCAGCCACTTCTCCACCTTCTCTCTGCTCTAAAGACCATGGGAGATCCCAGGAGGGCAGTGTTGGTGGAGAGAGCACGAAAAAACACCTTGAAGCTTCAGTTGGAAACCACAGTCCCTCTAGCACCCACACGGCCCAAGAAATAGCCCTTGGCACTCGTGGGGCGGCTGCAGCGTAGCCGGCTCCTGCTTCTCGGGAACGGCGCGGGCGGAGCGACAGACCCGGTGTGCACGTCTCCAGGTGAGCCTCGCTGGAGCTCAGCCCGGCGTTGCAGCCCAGCACGCTCCGCTGCCGGTACAAGCCCGGAGCCCTGCGCCAGCTGATGACTTGAGTTAATCATTTGGCCCGGGTTCAAGACTTCTCCTTTTTTGGCTGCATTCTGTGGTTTCTGTCTTGCCTGGCTACTTTCTACTGTCACCGAAGCCTTTCTGCTCCAGGGTGGCCGAGTTCTCCTAACATTTTGCTCTGCTTGACACGGGTGCAGTTTTCTTGCCTTCCCTGCAAAATATCGGGGGGGGGGGGGTGTACAGCCCTTGCACACCCACTGCCCCGGCACACGCTGCATCGACCCTGCCCCGTCTGTGCACGTGGGGCAAAGTGGCGGGGTTGGCCCGCCCCGGGCTGGCGC